GAGGAGAGGATGGCTGTATGGGCTGGACCCTAAAACAGATCTGACTTCAGGTTTAAAAATGGCAGTCCCTGAATCTGACATTTACAAGAGGAAACTTTATGAATGGTCAGCAGCTAGAGGAAATAATCCTTGGAAAGCATTCATCCTAAGAGATGGCTGTGAGCATGTTTCTGATGAGAGGGGCATCTGCCTAATGTCTCTTCATGAAAATCACCAAAAATAATTTCTCTAATATTAATTCCAATGACTTCAGGATAAGTATATCATCTTAAGCAAAACATACAAGGTTCTTCAGGATCTGGCCTCTTTATGATGGACCTTATTGATCACCCACACTGCAGCCATACCTAACTACTCATAACCTCAGAAATGCACCATGGTCTCAGGCCTCTATGCCACTGCTTATGTTGCTCCCTCAACCTGGAATGTCATTCTTTGCACTTAGTTGCCTGCCTGGCATCTTCTTATTCTCAAAGATTTAATTCTGGCATTACCACCCTACCTGAACCAAGCCCTTTATCTTTTCCATTGCCTAGTTCCCTATCCCTGTCCCACAACGTGTCTGTATCAGGTGCTACTTAAAGATACTACCACCATATTCTACACTTCTTTCTACAATAACTCATACTCCTTTTAAAATTTTAAACAGCTTTATTGAGGAAAAACTACACATACTTCAAGTGTAAAATTTGATGTTTTGACATGTTTCCCCTGTGAAACCATCACTGTAGTCAGGATATTAAACATATCCATCACCCCAGAAGTTTCCTCATTCCTTTTTAAGCCTTACTCGTCTTTTTTCTTTTTCAATTAGAGTTGACATTCAACATTACTTTATATTAGTTTCAGGTATACATCATAGTGGTTAGACATTAATATAATTTACAAAGTGACTCCCTGATAAGCCTAATACCCATATGACAACATACATAGCTATTACGATATTATTGATTATATTCCCTATGCTTTACTTTACATCCCAGTGACTATTTCATAACTACTGATTTGTACTTCTTACTTCTTTTACCTTTTTGACCCAGCCCCCTCCAATCTGGCAATCACCAGTTTGTTCTCTGGATCTATGAGTCTGTTTCTGCTTTATTTTGTTCTTTAGATTCCACATATAAGTGAAATCATATCTGCATGCCCTTTTGTAATCCATCCTTCCCAAGCTCCCCATTCCAGGCACCCACGAATCTGCTTTCTATCACTAAAAATTACTTTTCATTTTTGAGAGACTGTATAAACCAGATCATATAACATATATTCTTCTTTTTTTTTGGCCTGGCTTTCACTCAACAGGATTATTTTGAGATGTATTCATGTTGTTGCAAGTATCACTAATGAATTCCCTTTTGCCGCTGAGTAGTATTCCATTGTATAGGTATATGACAACTTCTTAATCCATTTACATGTTGTTGGACATCTGGATTGTTCCCAGTTTGGGCTAGTACAAACAAAGCTGCTATGAACATTTGTATACAGGTTACTATACGTTTTCTTTCCTCTTACATAAATACTGAGGAATGGAATGGCCAGATCATATGGGTGTATGTTTAATTTTAGGAAATTTCCAAACTGTTTCCAAAGTGATTGTACAATTTCACATTCCTATCAGCAGTATTTGTGTTCCGGTTCTTCTACATCCTTGACACTGGTATAGTTAGTCTTAACTTTAGTACTAGAGCTCCATAGTTTTAACTTGCACCTTTTCACACAAATATTTGTCATCTACATATCCTCTTTGGTAAATTTTCAAAGTTTTTGACCATTTTAAAAATTGTATTGTTTTCTTATTACTGAGTTTTCAGATATCTTTATATACACTGAATACAAGTCCTATATCAGATACATGCATCGAAAATATTTTCTTCCAGTCTGCGACTTCTGTTTCCACTCACTTAACTGTTATATGAAGAGAAAAAGTTTTTAATTTTGATAAAGTTGTTTTATTTACTTATTTTTTGTCCTTTTATGAATTGTGCTTTTATTATCGTATCTAAGAAATCTTTGCCTAACACAAAGAACCAAAGAGTGCCCCTATGTTTTCTTCTAGGAATTTTATAATTTTAGGTTTACACTTATGTGTAGAATCCATTTTTAATTTTTTTAAATGGTGAGAGGTCTAGACTGAAGTTCATTTTTTGAATATAGATATTGAATTGCTGCAGCACCATTTGTTGAAGACTAACATTTTTTCATTAATCTCTGCATCTTTGTCAAAAACCAGTTGTCTATAAACGTGCGGGTCAATTTCCAGACTCCATAATCTTTTTCATTGAGCTATTGGTAAATCTTTATGCCAAAATGACATTAGCTTGATTACTGTACCTTTATAATAAGTCTTGAAACCAGGTGATCGTAGCCCTCCAACTTTGTTCTTCTTTTCCAACATTGTTTTAGCTAATATTTTTAGAATAAACTTATCAATTTCTAAAAAATAACTTGCTGGGATTTTGATTGGTATTACACTGAATCAACAGATAAGTTGGGGAAAAACTGACATCATAACAATATTGAGTCATATAAAGAGCATATATCTCTCCATTTACTTAGGTCTTTAATTTCTCTTAAGTGTTCAGTGGTTTTCAGTGTTCAGGCCTGACAAATCTTTGTCAGATTAATTGTAAAGTATTTAATCTTTTCTGATACTAAGTTGTATTTTTTAAAATTACAATGTCTGAGTGCTCATTGTTAGTATATAGAACACAATTGATTTTTGTCAATTGATCTTTCCTATAACATTGCAAAACCCACGTATTAATTCTTGTAGCTCTGTGTAGATTTCATCAGATTTTCTACAAAGACCATAACACCATCTATGAATAAAAGATAGTTTTACTCCTTTCTTTATTGATGCTTTTTATTTCTTTTTCTTGCCTGACTGCACTAGCTAGAGTCTTCAGTAGAATCTTGAATAGAAGTGGTAAGAGTGAATATTTATGTCTTGTTCTTGATTTTAGGGAAAAAATATTCAGCCTGTTGCCATTAAGTATGATGCTATCTGTAGGGTTTTCATAAATGCCCTTTTTCAGGTTGAGAAAGTTCCCTTCTATTTCCAGTTTGCAAGAATGGAAGTTAGATTTTGTCAAATACTTTGTCTACATATATGAAACGATCACCTGGTTTTCTTTTTTAATTACTTAATTATGGTTTGTTAATATGGTTTGTTAATATGGTAATACATTGTTTGATTTTCTAATGTTAAACCAACACTGCATTTTTTGGGTAGGTCCCACTGAGTGATGATGTATTATCCTTTTATGTATTGTTGGATGTGATCTGCTAAAATTTTGTGTATTTTTGCATTTATGTACACGAGATATTTATCTTTCCTTAAATGTCTTGTATGCTGTTGGTGTCAGCGTAATGGTATCAGGATAATTCTGGTGCCAAAAATCAGTTGGGAACTTTTCTCTTTACTATTTTTTCACAAGAGCACTGCTATGAAATAGGTCTAATTTTATCTTCATAAAAATAAGGAAAACTAAGGACCAAAAAGAGTAAATAACTTGGCTCAAGGAATAAAGCACTTAATTGGTACAAGCCAGGCCTAAAATTAGCTAAGACAGCCAATTTTAGATGCTCTTACAAAAGGTATGTGGATGTCACAGGAAATCTCCAGAATGAACACTGTCACAGCTTCCCATGACACTTAAGCTGTCAGTTCTATCCAAACACCTCCTTCCAAACAGCTAACATGTCTTGGGCTTAATATGAAGCTCATGTAATACATTCTTACACCACTGAAAGAGATCCTGGGATTAATTTAAAAACAAAATTTTGTTGTTATTTTTAAATATACACAGGTAAAGATTTGCCAAATTATTAAGGTGGCTAAACATATGGTCATTAATGATTTGACTTGGATATAAGTACAGAAAAGTTTTATCAAGTTAAATATAGTTGCAACACACAATTCCTCTCATAGCCACAAAGGTAAATCATGAATCACTCACAGGAAGCCTCGGAATCTGTTGAGATCATTGTTTGGATTTTCACATTCTATCCTACTGGAGAATTTCTCAGGATCAACTTCAGAGTCCTATAAATAAATAAATAAATAAATAAATTAATTAATTAATTTAAATCACAAAACAAGATCAAGATTAAACCCTTGAGATTTAAGTGTTTATCCTTTCAATTTTTAAAGTAAAATGAAGGCATGCTTACCACAAAGTTTATGTCACAAACTGCCCACATGAAGGAAAGTATAGGCATAATTATGAACAAATAAATGGGATCGAATGATCCTAGAGTGTAAATAAACATCAGCAGGTGATAAAAATGTCCAAATCATATGCTGGAATCCAGGCAGCACTCTGCAGTAAACATCCTTATCTAGAAGCTACTGAAAAGCTGAAAATACTTTTGTTGTTGTTCTTTAACCATACAGGTAGTTTCTGACAGTAAATGTATATATGTGAACACTCTAAGCACATGTGCATTTGATCCCAGCATATTTTATTTTAAAAAATTAAAAAATGGACATCAATATCTTAACGATATTCTCTAATAAATCGAACGATAATTTTAGAACGTTCTATGAAACCAATGATCAAATAAAAAAGTCTTTATAGAACATAGGCATGAACTCACTAAGAACGAGCTCTGCCAATCTTATCTCATTTCCTTTTTTAAAATATTTTTTGACTAATAAAAGAGATGCTGTTGCTATAGCTCATAAAATATTACTAACTACATCATAGCAAATGTATGGAAAATGTGAGTTATGATCATATAATTTGATTTGCTAATAATATTTGAGTTTTTTTTGATAAACTAGACTCTATTCAGCACTTTAAACACGTCAATAAATTTCTTCCTCCCAGACCCATGTGGTATTGTAAATTAGGTCAAATTACTAGATGAAGAAAGAGAAACACAAAGAGGATCAGTAATTTGCTAAAGGTCTCAAAACAAGAAAGTATTTAGAGCCAGGATTACAAATGAGGTCATGAAATACCAGAGCACTCACCCTTAATTGAATTCAAAATGTGCTGACTAATAAACTAGCACAACCTTCAAAGTAGGTAGTTAGTGGCATGTAATAGAATTCCAAGTTATACAAGACTTTTGTCAATGTCTTAGGTACAAGAATGCTTTCTAAAGTGATAATGACAATAAGCTCAGAGGCATATCAATTACAGAGGATCTAAATGAAATACATAGGTAGAAAGATGGGCCCCATGTGATATGATTAAATTTACTAAAGATAACAGTGTTCTTTGGCTAAAACTTTTTTTTCTTTTGGTTTATAAGTATAAGATGAAGGAAATCTGGCTTAATAGTTCAGTTAAAAGACCATAACATTTAAAAATACTTCATCTCAAGAGCTTTCAGAGAAAGGAAAGGGAAACTAATATTTAGGCATTCATTATATATGAAACTTTTACATATATTACTTAATTTGAGTCTCAGCAATGCCAGGAGGGAGACATCATCATTTCCATTTTAAATAAGGAAACTGAAGCATAAAGTGTGTAAGTGACTAGGCCAAAATCACACAGTAATTAAATGGCAGAGCTAGCATTCGTTCAAACTCATGTTAATTAATATAACTTCAAAGTTCTTGCTTCCCTCACCACAGCACAGTAAAGGGTCTAGGAGCTCTGCAGCATGAGAAGCTACAAGTCTTAAAACACCTTGATATACAAGTAATTACAGATTTTAAGAACAAGGATCAACTTATGTCTCCAGCTTCAGTAACATATAAAATCTAAGCTTCAGAAAGATAAATTAAAAGGTGATTATTTGTATCGCAAAATAATTTTCTAAACTGCAAAATAATTCTGTTAGGTTCCTTTAGTTCAGTTCCAAAAAATACATGATGGACAGACTGAAATGTCTGAACTCCTAAGTCATTATATCCTATTATCTATAAAATACAGCATATGTCCACTGATATCTGGAGCTGAATGAAGCCTTCTAGGATTCCATTTTGTACTGGTAAAAAAGAATTTTAAAATCTCTTTACCAGTACATGCAAAAATAAGCTCAGTCATCTTTTCAAAAGAAAATGTTAATGCTGCTAGATGAGAACACATTATTTACCTGCTCTGCATATCCCCGAACCACCTGCCTCTGTTTTAAATTGCTTTCACCATCAAGACCAGACGTCTCAATATGACAGATTCCATCTGGATCAGTGGAAAAGAGTAAGACCATATCTGCAGGAATAATCTCATTACAGGAAAGGCGAATAAAGTCCCCAACAGTAACATCTTTCCAGCGCTGCTCAACATACTTTTTCTCTTTCCTAAAATTGGAGGGGGAGGGGGGGAGGTTTAAAGAGAATATCAAGTCAGAAATATATACAATAGGTTTTTTTTTTTTTAGTTTTACTGTATAATTTAAAGCATGTTTAAAATATTAGGGTGAATTTTAACCCATTAAATGCTAAAAAGGAAGTGCGGGAATTGAGGTAAAACCTATATTCTACAACTTGATTTACTTGAAAATTTAGTTACTAAGCTGCTAAAACATGTTTTTCAGCTTTTTTTCCTGTGAGATATTTGAACTATTATGCTGTTTGAGTGTAATGCTGGAATATAATTAAAACTAACATTTTATTGGTTTATTCCCATATGAAGAAATTCCTACATGCTATTCTATGGTCAGGTGTCAAGAACTGGAAGTATACTAGACACACCATCTGCTCTCAGACAGAATGGATAATTAAAGAAAACACAAAAGAAATGAATATCCAGACACAATATTAAAAAATCATTATGCTACCATATTCATATCTTTAATTTTCATTTAATAAAAAACTGGTTAAAACAGTCCTTGGTCTGTTGAAACTGGTTCTTAGAAAGGAAAATGGCAAATTTTATCCCTTTTCAAAATTACAGTTTTCCCATTCTATATATTCAACTTCTTTTAAAAGAAAGACATGTCATTTGAGGATGACTTGCCTTAAATACTCTACTTTATGTTAAATTTTTTGCCAAACTTCTCATGCCTTTTCATACCAACAGCATGAATTATGTTCCACAAAGCATCTTCCTTAGAGTAGAATGAGGACACTTGTATTACAGAACATTTTATCAGCTATTTAGGCAGCATTTCACACACAATGCTGCCAACGAATGTTAGAAGTCTATCTCATTCCCCTATTGCCTCCCGAATATTTATAAACAACTGGTATTTGTCACAAAAATACACTTATTTTAAAAATAAGATTTACTTTCTATTACATTTATGGGACTAAATATTTAAATTCATTGTCAAAGAAGCCTGAGAAATAGTTATATTCTAAGTTATGCAACCTATACATGAAAAATTAACACATTAAATAGAAATGCTACCTTAGGCCAATACCTGTATAACTTGTTATACAGAATTATATCAGATATTTCAAAAATTTAGCTTAAGAGCTAAGATATACATTTTAAGGACATATTCTTTCAAAATACCTAATGCACCAAGTTGAATCCAACTAAAGAAAATCCTCAATTTCCTAGAGTTTATTAGATCACAGAGAAAGGCAAATCAATAATTTATTCTGTCTACCAAACTTTTTCTTAAAGTTTGTGCACACCAGTGAACACCAATTCACTCGTCCATGGAGGGAAGTAACAGAAAAAAGGTCAAAAAGGTAAGCACAAGTCATATTTTGAAGATTCAGTCCTAAATGCCATAAATCAGAGTAGGAATTTCATTCCACAGAAAATAGGAGTCACTAAAGGTTCACAGGAAGAAGGATGTGATCCTACTTCTCCTGTACCCAGTAATAGAAGGATTGTTGGGTAGCAGGTTCATTAGGAGTAAAAATGGCCATAAAACCAATGAAAAGTTATTAAAATAATTCAGGGGAGGGATGAAGATGGTCAGAATAAAGGCAGTAGCAACAGGGATGGATAGAAGAAAATTAAATCAATACATAGCCTCTTAAAGGGGTTATGACCACAAGCAAACTTTCTCAATGATGAACCTGCTTACTCTGAGTACCAGCACCTGGTTGGCTACACGTGGGGTGGGGGTGTACCAGGGACTGACAGGGAGACACTGAGTTGTTGTAGTGAGGGCTGGAGACGAGGCTTTTTCCTGGGCAGAAGTGCTTGTGTTATCCATTGTCCCTCTGATGAACCACCCCTCCTCCCAATGTACGGATGCAGGATCCACAATAGCTGAGACATTATCAGCAAATAACGGAAGTCCCTTGGCCCAGAGTCTTCCCTGAAACTCCGACCCAACTCACAGCTCCACCTAAGCCACATCCAGTCGTGTCCTCAGCAAGTCAGGTGCTTCTTGCTGAGCAGCACCTAGACTCACACTGGAGGCAGCTGGCCTCAGTTTCTGGTGTGGCCTTTTGAGGCAACTATAAGCACAGCATTTGTGGATTGCTTGCCGAATCTTAACAGGTGGCCCTGGAGAGCCAGGGGCTTGGGCTAAATTGGCATGCAGTTGAACCTCTCTCAGGACTGTGCCATGGGACACTTACTACACAAATCCACACTAATAAGACCGGGAGACTTAGGAGCTTTGCTTAGTAGATAGAAACAGACATGGAAAGGCAGCCAAATAGGGAAGACAAAGAAGCAGAAACCATATGACAGAACAGAAGAGAGATCCAGATATAATGGAGTCAAGTAATTTAACAGATGCAGAGTTCAAAACACTGGTTATAAAGATGCTCAATGAACTTTTGGGAAGTGTAGATAAATTCAGTGAGAACTTCAACAAAGAGATAAAAAAAACATAAAAATGAAAATGGAAATTGTAAAAGGGAAACAGTCAGAAATGAAGAACACATTATCTGAGATGAAGAGTATATTACATGGAATAAACAGAGGTGATAAAGAAGAGGACTGAAGCACAGATATAGAAGATGGGGAAGCCAAGGACACTCAATCAGAATGGCAAGAAAAAAGAAGCCAAGACTATAATAATAATTTAAGGAGCTTATGGGACACTATTAAAGGTAAAAATATCCATGGCGTAGGGGTACCTGAAGGAAAACAAGAAGTTGAATAGGTATTTGAAGAAATAATAATGGATAACTTCCCAAATCTGGTGAACCAAATAGACATAAAACCCCGGGAAGCACAGAGAATCCCAAACAAAAGGAACCTAAAGAGGCCCACACCAAGACACATCATAGTTAAAATGCCAAAGGTTAAATGCAAAGAAGAGAATCTTAAAAGCAGCAAGAGAAAAGCAGTTAGCTACCTACAAGGGAGCACCCATAACACTGTCAGCTGATTTCTCAAAAGAAAGTATGTAGAACATAAGCGCTTGGCACAAAATATTCAACATGAAGAAAACCCAGAATACTTTATCCAGAAAAGCTATCATCTAGAGTTGAAGGACAGATAAAGAGTTTCCCATACAAAAATAAGCTAAAGGAATTTATTAACGCCAAGCCAGTATTACAGGAAATGCTGGAGGGACTTCTTTAAAAAACAAAACAAAACAAACAAACAAAATGTATCAAAAACAGGCATAAAGAATGGGAATAATTACATTCCTATCAACAAGTACCTCAAATGGAGAAGAATTAACTGCTCCAACCAAAGGATAGAGTGGCTGAGTGAATAAGAAAACAAGACCCCTACATATGCTGCCTACAAGAAACTCACTTCAGATTAAAAGATACACACAGACTAAAAGAAAGGGGATGAAAAAAGATATTGTCTTGAAAGACCTAGCGGGTATTGTGCTGAATGAAATGGTCGGATAGAGAAAGACAAATATTGCATGATTTCATGTACATGTGGAATCTAAAGGACAAAATAAACAATAACAACAAAAGTGGAAATAAAGTCACAGATATAGAGAATATTTTGAGGGATACTAGATAACAGGGGAGTTGGGGGGTGGAAAAAAAAGGCAAAGGGATTAAGAGGTACAGACAGACAGTTGCAGAATAGACATGGAGATGTAGAGCGTAGATGTAAAGCTACCATGGGGAAGATGGTTAATAATGTAATAAATATGTAAGGGGGAAGATTGGTACTAGATTTAGTGGGGTGATTGCTTTGCAAGTTATGTGAATCTCTGATCCCTATGCTGCACAACTGGTGTATTATTGTATGCCAACTATAATTGAAAAAAAACTCATTGAATTGTACAATGTAAATACAAGGAACTAATTATCTATTATATTTCAATAAAGCCAGAAAAAAAAGATTAAAACATAAATAGGAAATTAATTTAAAAAAAAAGAAAGAAGGGATTAAAAACACATTTTTTGCTGTTTTTTATTATTTTTCCAATAAAATATTAAAATAATTTATAATAAAGAAATAATGTATAATCATCAGACACAATAGCAGTTAAGAGTTGTCAAATGCTTTATATTCATCAATTCATTTATTTTTGTATCAATGTTATATGGTTGGTACAATGAATGCACTATGGCTCCATTTTACAAAAGAGAAAAAAATGGCTTTGATAGGTTAAGTAACTTGCTTAAGATTACAAAGCTTATAAGTCATCCTGGGATTTGAAACAAGGCAGGTGGTTTCATAGTCCATTTCTCCAGAACTAGACTTTACTCCCAGGTATAGTGACTTACTGATTATGACTAACAAATAAAAAACTGCTTTAATTGTGCATTAGATACTGAATTTCAAGAACCATTGCTTTGAATTTGCATGTAATCTACAAAAGAAAAAGACCACAAACAGCCAAAGCAATCCTTTTAAAAAAGAATAAAGCCAGAAGTACCATATTCCTTGACTTCAAATTATACTACAAAACTACAATAATCAAAATAGCATGGTATTGACAGAAAAACAGACATGTAGACCAATGGAACAGAATTAAGAACCCATAAATAAATCCATATATATATATGGGCAAATAATTTTCGACAAAAGAGCCCAAAACATCCAGTGGAGAAAAGAAAGCCTCTTCAATAACTGGTGCTGGATAAATTGGAAAGCCATGTGCTAAAGAAAGAAATTAGACTACTATTTGACACTAGACACAAAAATTAACTCAAAATGAATCAAATATCTAAGTATGAGACATGAAACAAAAAAAATACATAGAAGAAAACATACGTACCTTGGTCTTAAAGAAGATTTTATGAATTTGACCCCAAAGGCAAGGGAATTAAAAGCAAAAATAAGTGAATAGGACTATATCAAACTAAAACATTGCTGCACAGCAAAAAAAACCATTGACAAAACAAAGAGGCAACCAACCGAACTGGAGAAGGTATTTGCAAACAATACCTTCGATAAGTGGCTAAGATCCAAAATATATAAAGAACTCATACAACTCAACAACAAAAAAACAATTGAATAA